GTATTTTTTGGCTCAAATAAAACTTTCCTAAGGTTTAATTCATATGAAAAGTGGAGAATCTGCATTCCCACTTCAAGTCCTCCCCATCTCAGTCTGAAAGAGCCGTGCTGATGCTGTGGCGCTCAGCTACTGCTCATTCTCACTCTGTATCATCATCTTCTGTCTTCAATTTTCATGGTGCTCAGGTCTAAGTTTACCAATACGTTGGCCATTTTTCTTCTTCTGATCCATTTTTATTCTTCCCTGTCAGCTTCACTGTCCATCCTCTTCACTTCTTACTTACAAAGTATCTATTCTTATCCCAGCCTGTTCCTGTCTATACATACCTCCACCCTTACATGGTAGTCACAAACACATCCATGTAAACCTGTGTTTAGCCTTTGTCTAAAATAAATAAAAACAAGGCTGTGCACTGCCTATACTTCTCTGTTTCTCCATTTTCTCATTTATGAGCATGTTTTATGAAACTCATCAAAAACACAGGAGGAGCTTAACTTCCCACCCTAGAGGGCCATCTGGTTTTCCACATTGTGGATGATGCTTCTTTAGCACACCTGCGGGATTGTTGGAGTCTTCCAGTCCTGGCTCATGAGAACCCTTCTGTGAGTTTTCCCTCAGTTGTGCATTTAGTGAACTCATATTGCTAGCTTAAAATTAGCTTATGAAAAACACTAAATACAACAGACAGTTTTTACCTTCACAGAATCAGCTCATCAATATGTAGGTACCTTTACTTCTTCCTGAATGTGTATGTGTGCGTGTGTGTGCATGTGTGTGTGTGTATGTATGTGTGTGTGATTTCTTTATTTATTGGTTGTGACTCATAGGGTTTGCACATCATATATCCTGCATATCAGATATTTACATTACAATTTGTAACAATAACAAAATTACAACTATGAAGTAGCAATAACATTATTCTATGTTTGGGGGTCACTACAACATGAGGAACTGCATTAAAGGGTCACAGCATTAGGAAGTTTGAGAACCACTACTCTAATACTATTCTATGATAAATTCCATGTGTCTCCTCCTTAGTTATGTTCATTATATTTCTAGTAAAAAATTCCAGGAGTTGCATTACTGAAATGAATAACTTGTATTTTATTAATTAAATACTTTCATGCAATGTATTTTGGCATGTATGTTTTTTCTTTTTTTGTTTGATTTTGGTTTTTCAAGACAGGGTCTCTCTGGGTAACTGTCCTAGCTGTCCTTGAGCTAGCTCTTTTCAACCAGGTTGGCTTCAAACTCACAGAGATCTGTTTGCCTCTGCCTCCCGAGAACTGGGATTAAAGGCATGCACCACCACTGCCTGACTTGACATGTATGCTTTTAACTTTAGCAGTGAGTGTGTATATGTGTGTATGTATATATGTATGTATGTATGTATGTATGTATATGAATTTACCATGATCCCTTTCATCTTTAAGCTTTATCTTTGTTGCTGAATTGTTTCTCTTACTTTTTTGAAGATTAAGTGCACAACCATATGGTCATCAGGCACCAGTAGACTTGTTTTCCAATGAATTGTCAGTTCCTATCTAGTTCTTCTGAAACTTCCAGGTGATTAAATTTCAGGAAGCCATTTGCAATTTCTCTTCATGTTTCCCAGAAGTTCATTATCAGGTATCTGCATTAAACATTACAATTATTTATTTATTTTTAATGTACTTAATTATTTTATGTGCATGAGTACATGTTTGTGTGTATATCTGCAGGTCAGACAGCAGCTTCCAGAGTTGGTTGTTTCCTACTATCACATGGGTACCAGTGATCTGAACTCTTATTATCAGATTTGCTGGCACAGGTGTTTATGCACTGGACCATCTTGCTGGCCCTCAATTTTCTTTTTAAACTAGTGTTATCCAGTCAACTTTAGTATATTTTGCATATCAAAATACATTTTAGAACATCTATGTTCTTTCTTTTAAAATGTACTATGTGACTGAGTTTTTAAAACTGATTGTATATCTGTGTACCATGTGTGTATGTGCACGTGGTTGTGTGAGTAGCTTTATGGAGACCAGAAGAGAGCATAGGATCCCTGGCACTGGAGTTACAGGTTGTTGAAGGTGTCTTGTGCATGCTGGGTATTGGACCCAGGTCCTCTGGAAAAGCAGCCTGTGCTCGAGTCACGTCTCCAGTCCCCATATATATGTTTGTTTTTGTTGATCTTGAACACCTTTCCAACTTACGCTGTAAAATCTCCTTTGTTCCTTTAAAAAGTTTTAGAGAGGAGGGGAAATAAAAATTTTTAGACAGCTATACAGTTTCTTTTGCATTTTTGCAAACAGTAGTCAGTTTGCTGCAATTCAATGGTGATCACCTCAAATATTAAAATGAATAGTTACTAAATAAAAAACAAACAAACAAACAAGCAAACAAAAACTTCAGCATGATTATTTTTCCAAGCAATCTGAGTGATGATGTTGATCTTTCTGATTTTGTTGATGAAATCAAAGTTAATAATCTCTTTAGTCATTACAAAAAATAAAAATTTCTCATGAAATTTTATGACAAAATTGCTTCAAAGGTTATTTGCTCTCTTTCTATACTTATGTAGGTCGTCATATAAATTAAATATTTATTTTCATTATGTATGGAATGTCACATCAATGCAAGATGAGTAATAGGAACTGCTGTAAAATATACTAAAGTAGTAAGTGAAGAAACATATAAAAATATATTTTACTATATGTTTAGAAATTAAAAATTCATATTTCAAAGTGAATTAAAACTAGATAAAAAATAATGGTGAAGAAAATTATAGTTCTGACAGATTTCAAAGTGAATTAGAACTGAAAAAAACTGATAAGAAAAAATGCAAAATATAGCTTAGAAAAATTTGCTGTTTTAAGAAGTACCAGTAATGAATACATTACTGACTTAAAATGATGTGGTATTTCCCTCTGTATGCTGTGATTACCATTGGTTAATAAAGAAACTGCTTTGGGCCTATGGGCAGAGCTATAGGGGAACAGAGCCAGGCGGGGAAAACTAAACTGAATACTGGAAGAAAGGAGGTGGAGTGAGAGAGATACATGTAGCCCTGCAAGAGATGGATGCTGGAACTTTAGTCAGTAAGCCCCAGCCCCGTGGCGATACACAGATGAATAGAAATAGGTTACTTCAACTCAAATTAAGATGTTCTGTGTTTCTCAATATTCCATAAGTTAAATGAAGTGAGTAGGTATTTTCACTTCTTAGATGAGTTGTTAGCATCTTTGTTGCTACAATTGTTATTTTCCACTTATTTACAGTTTCAGATACACATTTTTGGGTTTGTTATGGATTTCTTGATGCCAAAAGTATTTTTAATTTGCCTTTTAATTCTAAGAACAAGATATACACTAAAAGGGTATTGTAAGTAGAACTTTATTAAAAAGATGATTAGAAGTATTTGCTTGGGAATAAAACTAATTAAGAAATTCTAATAATTACTTTTGGGTGATTCTTGGAGGAAAACTAATAAAGGAGGAATACTGCTGGAATATGATTAGTCATCCTTGGTTCCTATTTCGACTCCCACTAAACCTCCACAGCCTGGGAGTATACAGGAAGTTTCCTTGGTCTAAAATTAAGTCCTTGATAAAATAAGTATGTTTACCTTGTTTTCAGTACCCTTGTTCTCTGGTTTTAAAGTTAAGTAAAGATAGGGGACAATAAACAATAACGAATGTAGGAAGTAATTAAACTGTAGCAGGACAACTTCTTATAAGCAGTATTTGTGAATGGACAATATCAGTGATTCTCCAACTTAAGAATTTAATGGAGTAAAATAATGCTCTACTTATTTTTTGTACAATCATCTTATGTTAAATAACTTGAATACCTACTGAATTGTAGGAGGGTCTTTTTTCTATGTGTTGCTTTCATTGGTCAAATAAAGAAGCTGCCTTGACTTTTTGATGGGGCAGAATTTTGATAGGTGGAGTAGAATGAACAGGATGCTGGGAGAAAGAAAGCAGAATCAGGCAGATGCCATGGCGCTTTTCTCTGAGATGGACGCTGATTAGACTCATGCTGGTAAGCCACAGTCAAGTGGTGATACTGATTATTGGAAATAGGTTGAATCAATATGTGAGAGTTAGCCAATAAGAGGCTAGAACTAATGGACCAGGCAGTGCTTAAATAAATACAATTTGTGTGTTGTTATTGCGGGGTATAAGCTAGCCAGGCGGCCAGGAGCCGGGTGGTAGGAACGCAGCCCGCATCTCCTTTTACAACACTGAATTTATATATTTCAAGTCATTATGTCCATCTATACCTGAGATAATTAAGTTCAGAGGAAGAAAGGCTTTCTTTCACTCACAGTTTCAGACACTCCAGTCTATGCTAGGTATCATTGTCCTGTAGGTAGGTACCACATCATGGCAGTGAGTATATGATGAATCGGGATTCTTAGTACCTCAAGGGAAGGACAGAAAGAAAGGAGACAGAGTCCCATCCTCCTTATCAGTCATGTCCCTAGTTATCTAGCTTTTCTCTACTGTGTCCACCACATTGAAGGTTCTACCACCTTCTGATAGAACCATTTATGGACAGCCAAGAACAACTTATAGGCATACTTTAACATGTTATCTAGTGGTTGACAATTCCAAAGTACAGTAGCCATATGATAAAATTAGACATAAATTCTACAGCTTCCACCTTCTCTTTATGTAAAGTTTGGAAGGTAAGAGTTGAAAAGTCACAATATTCAATAAGACCTCAGGCCTCACCAAAGCTCTTTTTATAAACATTTTCATTTACTTTTGGATTTGACAAGCTGTCTTAAATGTTTTACCCCTTTTCCACTTATCCTCAGAAACAGTTGAGTCAAGGGTAAAGGCAGATGAAGAACAGAACATCAGTTCCACTTCTAGTATTAATTGTTGAATACCAGTTGTATAGTCCTTTTGATGTTTGGTAAGTAGCAGCAGCATTCTAGAATTATCAAACGTTCTCAACAAAGTACAGACAATGGTAGTATTCAGCGGTTCTGTTCTTTACAAAACTGGACAGAAGAATGGGCCATTTCATTCCTTGTTTCGTCTCAAAAAGATTCTTCAATTTTAATTGTTCAGTCATATTCAGTTTATGATTTATAGGACATCAGTGTGATACTTCCATGTGTACACACACTTTTATTCATTCCTTTCCACCTTTGCCAGTATCATTTTACATTCCCGTTTCCCTGGCACTCAGTGATGCAGCATTTCCTGTTCCCCAACCATCAATGAGGAAGAAGGTAGGATGAAGTCCATGTCTCATGTTAACTGATTATTGTTCACATGGAGTGAGTTGTGAGGAATTAGGAATATTACTGATCTAAATGCTATCACCTTTCACCACCAGGTAATGTGCAAAAGCAGATGTAACAGTAAGTTTTAAAAGAAAAGTCCAAGAACTTCTTTGTTCTTACTGAAAGCAGAGTAGTCCAAAGCATGATTGGGTAACTTGGTAGAGAGAGATCTGAGATTTCTGGTAAATTCTTTCATTCTCTTTCTCACCTCCCTCTCTTGATGGCCCATTGCACAGAATCATCAGCAGAAACAAATGACTCAGCAGTACCATTGGTGGCCACATAGTCCTCAGAGCCCTCCCCACCACTAAACATCTTCACTTAGCAGTCTATGATTTCAGGACTACGTTGAGGGCAGTTTTTGTGGCCCAAGATGTAAATAAGAATTTAAAAGCTAAATTCAAGTACTATCAGATCAAACCAACTGTAAACAAACTTTTACTTTTAACTTTTGTTTTATGTCCTAGTCATTCACTTGTTTGTTTTTCGTATAATATGAACAGAAAATTGGATAACCATATTTTTCATTCCATACTATATATTAACTATCATATGTCTATATAAAAATAATCTTTTATTTGAGTATTTCCCGTTCATTTTTCATAGTCTGTCTTGTCTTCTTGAACTATCTCTGTGGGTTTGACTTACTTCACTCAACATAAGTGGAACTTTCTAGAAAATTTTGCTGTTTTAGGTAAATCAATTTAAGTTCATATAAGCAATATTAGATGATGAATTTCATTTCATTGATCGTCTCTCTGCTGTTTTATAAGTACATGTTGCTAGGCACCATGAGTTATTTTTATAACACTGAATCCATTTCCAACATTTACAGATTGGAATATTTTGTATTCAAATCTAGACTATTGGCTTCTCTTTGAGTCTACATTCCTGCATAACAAACAATCATGGGGATTTTATTCACTGCTGTTTTTATAGGGGAAAATGCACTCTCTTTTACCCTTAGGCCTTTGCAATTCCTTCCTTCTCCTCTGTAAGCATTTACATTTGTAGTTTTCTGAAACTAGGAAACATGAATGAGGCCTATGGTCCATTGTAGCCTGTTAAATTTTTACATTTCCTTCTCTTCAGCTTGACATTTTCCACACTACTAAGTTGTCAGTTAATCTCCAACTGCCAATCCTTTTTCTCATTATTAACATTTTTGATCAAACACCAAAAATGATTCTTTCATTCTTTTCTAATTACTTTAACTTTACTATTACTTAAATGTACACACGTGTTCTTATTTATGAGATATGACTTCCTTTGTAGTCTCATTTCTTTTATTTGTCTTGTAACCTTGCCTTTCACCCTCAAATAGTACTGCTTTCTGAAAACAGGATCTTTTCCACTGTCAGACACACCTCCCAGACATTCTTTTTGTAGAGGAAGCTCTACACTTCTTTATTTCCTGCCTGGTTTATTTCTTGGCATCTAACCTTGTATCTCTGCCATTTAGCTACTTCTCGCTTGTTTTTATATATTGATTCCTTCTCCAAGAGCAAAACTTTACTTTTTGCATCCATCTTTCTAGCCACTCAGCTGTACCTTCTAGTGTTGCTACAGCCCGAATGACTTTAACAGTCCTTAGCATAAAATGGGGCTAATATTTTATACTTGTTCAAATAATACGTAGATAAAAATTACCAAAAAGAACTTGGATTTTGTTATCAACAGGGCTTAATGAATCCTGATGACCTGAGCATAATTGTATGCCAGAATCCACATGGTAGAAGGAGAGAACTGAGCCTTGGTAGTTGTCTTCTCCCTTCTGCATGCATGTCTTGGTATATATACCTATCCATCACCCCACAAAATGAGTAAAGAAAATGACATAGAAACAATTAAATTTCAAAGACTGTTTAGTTTTTTCAGTACTCTAGCGATCTTTGAATAGAGACCTTAATCATCAGTCAAAATTTTTACACATTGATCACTCTTGAAGAATTTTCACAATTTTCATCCAAGTGCAATTATTCATTTTCAACCATTGGGTACCAGACCTTTAAAGTCAAACCTGAGACTCGACAACATGCTTTGACCCTGGATAATCTATCCTTTTCTTTTAAGAAATTTCTGGGCTTGTTTTACCTTGAGATTTTCATCTGGCTTCTGAATCTTCTAACTCTTGTCATGCTTGCTTTTTGCTGGAATGAAAGAGCTGTCAAACAGTCAGTCATGAAGTGTCATGTCACCTAGCCAGGAAATTCTCCTGTGTCCTGCAATGCTTAAAACCAATTAATATTCATTTGTCTGTTCTCCTGAAGTCATTGGAAATGCTGGGTATCCACAGTCTCCTTGCCGAGACTGATCTGACCTTGAAATAACAAGCATCACTGGGAAAGAACACATCTGACACAATGGAACTCGAAAGAAGAAATTAAGGAAGGAAGGGAGGAATGAAAGAAAGAAGGAAAAATAAAAAGAGAAAATCAAGCTTATGAAATTATAAGATTCTGCTTACTTTTAAAAATGATTTCTATGAAATTGACAATTTCATATCAAACTTGAACCGTTTTGATGTCAGATTTGATGTGTATATACACCAAACAGGCAATAAGCTGTAAATTAATAGAGCTGAGGATGCAGCATGGTGATTGTGTGCTTGCCAAGCCTGTGCAAGAGCCCTCAGTTCTGCAAAATAAATAAATGAGTAAAGTAAGCCTGTGACTCTTACAGCTGCACACCCACACAGTTCAGGGCTTGTTGCCTCCAGTCCTTATTTGGCTTCCTCAGCAGTACCTGTTGTGAACATCTACCCTCCAAGTTTTATCTCTGTTTGGGACTGTGCTCTCTGTCACTGTGGGGAATGGTTTGGATTAACAAATCCACTAAGGTTTTATTTATGTTGATATGAATCACTGTGTTAGGAATACTGACATACAAGGAACTTATAAAGAGCTAGCAATTCTCAAGAATGATCCTATGGAATATAGCTCAAATGGTGGCCTTGCTGGTGAGGATTGGCAGGAATTGATTGATTTGGGTTTGATTAAGTATTCCTAGTGCCCATCAAATAAAACCAAGTTAACCTACCATAGCTGACTAGCCCTGGGGAGAATCAAAGAGGCTGTTTCTTTTGTGAAACATAGTCATTTTTCATGTGGGGGAAGGGTGAGATCTGGAATCAGGAAAGATCTCTGCCAAGTTCTGAACAGTTGGCTCCCTCTACACAGCATGTGGATAAGTGTGTACGGATTTATTTAATATTCTCTAATTACACTTCTGCCATGTACTATCTGTAGAATCTCTTTGAACTAGTTATTCTTTATGCAACTCACTCAATAAAGCATTTTCAAATATCCAATTTTGTTGTAGGAGAGAGGGTCTGCTTTTGGTCCCATCTGCCCAGCTAGTTTAGCCCTGAAATAACCACACAAGAACTGTATTCATTCAAATACTGCCTGGCCCATTATCTCCAGCCCCTTATTGGCTAATTCTCACATATTAGTTTAACCCATCTCCATGAATGTGTATCACCACTTGACTGTGGCTTACTGGCATGAGTCTAACCAGTGTCCGTCTCAGGCAGGAGAATCATGGTGTCTGCCCCCTCTGTCTTTCTTCCCAGCATTCTGTTTTGTCTTCTCTGCCTATCTAAGTTCTGCCCTATCAAAAGGCCAAGGCAGTTTCTTTATTCAACCAATGAAAGCAACACATTGACAGAAGAACCTCCTATACCACAATTTAGCATGAATTAATTTATATTATATCAATTATGCATATGATTTAAATAATATATATGTTTTACTGATACATAGTATATATGTTTAACTGAGACATAGAGAGAGCCAATAAATATCAAATCATGCCATTGCAAACATTAAAATCATTTATATACTTTGTCCTTTTGAAATAAAAATACAAGCATTTATATATAACACACATAAATAATATTAACTAGGTAAATATATATTTAAAAATGAATAATAGACCATCATGTATAACCTAAGAAGAGTATGCAAATCAGTTAATATATTGCATGTATAGGATTTTGGCATCTTGGCATTATTTATAACTTAAGTGGAATACATGGATAAGCCTTAGGGTGGGGTAGGGAGGGCACCGGCTATATGATTTCTCGCTGTCTTCACAGACTACGTCCTGGTTGCTTGGCCCTGACATTTTACTTCTATAAGCTTCAGCTTTTCAAAGTACCAATTACAGGAGAGATTGACACGGATGGTATTTGTAATTCAGTATTAAAAATTGAAGAAGGACAAAAGAGATTCCTATAGAGTACTACAGATTTTAGCTGGGTCAGGTTGCTGGTGTGATGGCTGAAGGTGAAGGATTCAGTTCTGTTTACTCACCTTTGCCCCGTTCCCTTCACCTGGAGATTACATCTGGCTTCTCCAGCTGAGACTTGCAAGTTGCCAGTGAAGAAAGGCAAGCATTCAGGATTGTGAGTATCCTTATCATCCCAGCATCTAGTTCTGGCATCCACAGGCCTGCTCACAACAACTGCTTCGACCTTGTATGTATTTTGAATCGGAGGCTTCTGCTGTATGAGAGGTTATGTCATGAAGTCACACATATGCTTGGTCTGTCCTTACATGCCACAATTAAGAAAATAGTCTCACAGATTACTTGGGATTCCTTTCTTTTCCTTACATCCTGTAAGCTCCTGAATGGCACTTTAGGAGTTCAGCTGAGATCAACAATACACGACACCGTGATAACAAATGTGTTTGTTATTGCTATCTAAGTCTTTCGACATTAAAAGCAGCGGTGTGCCTCTGGACATGACTGCCATTTCTCAAAGCGTGGACCGTGCAGTACCTGCCAGATGGTTGGCACGATTCTGTAACCACTGTTGATAGACTTCCGTTCTTAGCTAGAAAATAACAGCCTTCAACTAAGGTTTACAAATGTGGGTCTGACAGTAAATCTATTACCAAAGCCACCTGCAATTCAATGTAAAGAAGTCTTCTGAATAGAAATATGACTTCAGCAGAGCCACAGAATGTAATAGGCTCTTTTCATATTCTAGGAGATAAAAACAAATCATTTTATTCCTAATTTTGCTTTGCTTTTTTTAAAAAGAAAGACAAGGATGGCACGTGCTCATCTCAAGTACAGAAATATTCATAAATCTTGTGAATGAATGATGCAAGCCCTAATGTTTCAGATGGTATTTTGTTAATGGAAGACTGAACAGATTCTATGGGTATGTTAACAATGTCCAGTGAAGATCTGTGGAAGTTAGACAGCCTAACAAATTGCATTACTAATGAGGAATGGCTGTAAAATGAGGTCACACTGAAGGTACAGGGAGGGGGGAAATGGGGAGGAGAAATGGCTTTGTGCTTCTGACTGGAATGTGTTTTGCTGTTTTCCCCCTTCACGAGAACCAAACATCACTTCCTCTTTTTAAGACCTCTCGAATCTGCACTCGCCAAACTGACCGTGCTCTCCTGCTTCTTTTTTTTATGTTCCTCTCATACTCAGCACGTGTTGATTCTGCAATAAACTTAGCTGACTCCCTGGTTTTGGGCAGACAGCTATTAGAACAGTCAACACATTACTTTTCTCAATATGCTGTGATATGCTATAATATATGATATGATATAACATTCCTCATTACTATGATTCGAAATTTTGCTTTCCCCCTTTCTGCAAAGCACACGCCTCTTAGTATAACTTAATTATGGGAAATTGAAGTCATGAAAGAATTTCTGCCTCTTTTTCTTTCTTTCTTCATGCCTTTGCTATATGAGAATTCAGTGTTCCTTTCCTTCTGGGAATGTAACAAACACCACATATTCGACCTTGGAACTCTTGTCCTCGGGGGTTGTGAGAGCGTGAGCTTCTTTTTCTCACTTGTTACTCAGGATTGGATATTTGGCCCCAGCAGTGCAGAAATGACTCAACACATTCATTCTATTCAATATTCCTAGAAAATGACTCCTTTGGCTGTTGAACGACCGACAGATATAATAGAATGCTTCGTTGTACCAGCCCCTTAGTGTTGGACATTTTGTTTCTCCACTGTTACAGATAATGGACAGCTCAAAGTTTAAGTGTCAGAATTCTCAAGCATTTGACCCTTGTTTCACTTGCATTTCACCAATGACTATTAATGAAGTTTCTTCACAGGGCACTAATTGAAACACTAATCAAAATGATGTTGTTCAGAAGGTGGGGATATTCTTGCGGTCTAATTGTTAATTTACTATCTTCATGGCAACTGAAAGGGCATCAGAAAGCCAACAGAAATTTGATTTTTTTTTTGTTTTCTATTTCTTTGTTTGTTTGTCTGTTTGCTTACTTACCATTGTTTTTGTTGTCCAGTACTTTCCCAAAGCTTTTCTGAACCCCTTGTTGATGGTATACATCTATGAGCAGACCTCTCAAAGCTAATTTAACTGTGTCACTTCAAAATACTACTACATATATTAACTAAAGAAAGAATATGCAAAAGGAGGGACTGATTGGTCACAAATAGGAAAAAATAAAACAAAGAACAATGAAACAAATGAACAAATCACCTGACCTAAGCCATCTTGTCCTCATAAGTCTATTTATCTATTTCAAGCATTGCTGTCACAGAGAGAATGCATCCTTCATTCCTTGAAAAAGATCATATGCTTTAATATGCGAGCTTCCAGAAGGTCAGCACACACAGCACTTCCGTGCAATGCTGCTTCACATAGGGCTCCTTGTCTCGGAGCCAGGACCTGCTTTTCGGACCCCAGGGGACGGTGAGCCTTTCCTGCTGGATCAAGCTCCTAGTATCAGTTTCACTGTTTCTGGCCTTGGCAAAACCTGGAACTGACTACGGACTGGAGTGTGCTGGCACGCTGGAGCAGAGCTGCCATCTGTTCGGATTCTTCACTTCCTCAGGTCCCTCCACTTACCAGCTCGTCTCTCACCAAAGTTACGAAAAACATGGAAACTGGATAATTTTATCTTTAATTGCGCTTATCAGTCTTTTCAAGGGAAATTATGCGATATAACATCAGTAATGTTAAAATAAATCGTTATTGTAAAGGAACCAAGAAAATCATTGATGTTAAATACTTAAGCCACAGCTAATTAAGGAGTCAGTGAAAGTTATAGCCTTGGTACCTTAAGGAATGGATTCAAAAAGGGGAAACCTTGGTATTGTGAAGCTGCCTTTGAGAGAAGGTAGGCACCTCCACTGTTCACTGCTCGTGTCTTCTTTGTTAAGTATTTGGGCTTCATATTGAAATATCCTGAAAGTATTTACTTTATACATGTTACTGAAGCTATGTATCTCTAATTTGGACTCTACTGCCTTGAACGGAAGCTGGAAGATGAAAGCTCCACCGAGGGGAGAATCACTGCCTTTTAAAGAACCCAAAATAATTGTCAAAGCCTAAAATCATTTAGATATTTGAGAAAGGATATATTTACATTAACGAAATAATTATATTTCTGTTACTGATGACACAAATGCAATATCTTCTCAGAACTC